CCCTCATTAATATCACTATCAACATGAATATAAAAACGATCCAAATAGGTTGATATTAATGAGGGACAACTGTATTAGTTGTCATTCTAGTAGCATAAATGTAAACATTTTATAATTTACGATGCAGAGCGTAATGAGTTAAAGTGACTTAAACTACTCAATAAAATAATTTAGAATTCTAATAATTTAGAATCCTCTTAATTTATTGTTAATTGAAATTTAATTATTTAACAACTCTTCTATTCCAACGTACAACATATATAATGATAAATTTAAAATAGGTTATCTGAATTGTATAAAATTTAAATAGGTTACGAAAATAGAAAATGTGTTAGATATATGAGAAAAGGGTTAGGCGCATTTTTATTATAGAACAGAGTGCTAAGAAATTTTTCTGGAGGTTAATATTGGATAATTAATAATAAATTTGATCTCCAAACCTTAATTATGGGAACCAAACATTAAATTTTACAAGTATACCGTAATGAACTTAATTATACTCTATAAAATCTCTAAAGATTATGTCCTACAAAAACCACATCCTAATTCTCCTATCGCCATATACGATAATGGTGCTTGGAATAGTTGAGAACCGCACATAGTTGAAGTGTCATAATGATAACAAACACTTTTTGCACCATTGAAAGAATAATAATAGGTAGCGCATCTAGGCTCATCGTAACATGATTTGCAGCATTCTTCTACAGAACTTAAATTTAAAGCAGAATTATAAGGCACTATATTTGTTAGATCTACGGTATATGAACCGTTTCGTCCAGGTCCACCAGAAACACAACAACTATCTTTAGGGATAGAAGTAGATGAATTAGACACAGAAGTAGGTGTACTAGGGATAGAAGTACTAGGAATGGAAGTAGGTGTACTAGGGGTAGAAATAGGTGCACTAAAGATTGAAGTAGGTGTACTGGATGTTACGGTTTTAGGATTTTTAATATTGGTGCTAGCGATAGTGCATATTCTGGTAGATTTGTAGTGATGTATATGTCTGGCATCGATAGTTCCAAAAAAAAGAATGAGAATAACCAGAAAAAAGTTAAATGAATGTCTATTCATAGTTAGACGATTCAAGAAAATTGATATCATTTTTTCAACCTGAAAAAAAATGCTTCACACATTTTATATCTGACATTTCATAGTAAATGAATAAACCAATACACTATACATAATTAAATTTATTCGTACGAATCTTTAACAAACTTGAACGGTTATACCAGAAATGAGTGATGAAGAGACGCTTGCGTGCATCGCGTATATCTATGTGCCACGCTAGAGATCTACTGGGCTATTTCCTGCAATGGAAAATAAAGGCATTATTCTTGCATGATCTATAATGACAATGGTTTAACGAATTATAATTACTACGTTAAATCAGTAAAATAAACAAGTTTCCCAGTTATATATTTTAATTCTTCGATTAAATTATATTTAGAATTTTGGAATCACTTTAGAATGTCGGAATTATTTAGAATTCGGCATAATAAATATCAAAAGTCGCAAGCTTGAAATAATTTCGGTTAACACTATTCGTAACCTGTTAATGACCTTGCAAATGGGTTGTGACCCGGTGCTTAAATTTTATCACATGTGAAATTAAATACAATAAGGTTATAATAAGCATCCGCATCGCTGTCAAATTTTGGCTCCAAAAGAGGTCAATAAGGTATATCTATTAATACAGTACCTTATTGACTCTTTTGGAGCCAAAATTTGACAGCGATAGGGATGCTTATTATATCCTTATTGAACTTAATTTTATCTGTGCATGCTGGTTTCAATCTTTAGATAAATTCATAATAAGCAATAGAATAGAAATAGTCATATTTGCAAATTTGCGATGACACATTTAACAAACCGAAATAACTGCTCAATGATTTTATCTT